GTGGTGGTGGTGGTGGTGGTGGTGGTGGTGGTGGTGGTGGTGGTGGTGGTGGTGGTGGTGGTGGTGGTGGTGGTGGTGGTGGTGGTGGTGGTGGTGGTGGTGGTGGTGGTGGTGGTGGTGGTGGTGGTGGTGGTGGTGGTGGTGGTGGTATTCACGTCGGTGGGACATTCACGAGCCTCCCGTTAGCTAATAAAGCGGAAGAAAGAGCCGTTAGCTGCGAGAGAGTCGCGCTTGAGTGGAGACGACTGGCCAAGCGGGGAGGAAGGCGCGGAAGCGTTCCGGGTCAGCATCGACGGCTCGGAAATGGCGAGGAGGGGTGGGGGAATTGAAGTGGAGACGATGAGGAAGCGAGCCTGAAGTTTCGCGGGCCCTGGGCGTTGGCACCACCTTGCTAGCCGCTGCCGATTTGTATGACGAAGGGAGGTTCGCGGAGTCGTCGGCGGGGGCGCGAACGGGCGAGGCGCGGCTGCTGCGAGCAGCATTAAAACCTGGAATCCGGCTGGTGTGGCGGACCGAGGTGGATCGGCGACCAAAATAACCCCAATAGGCCCTCGCGGGAAGTGCGCTCGTAGTGAGTGGTTATTTCGGAATTCGAGAATCGGAGTCTGCCGGCTGCGTCTATCGCGCGTCCCGAGAGCCTCGTCGAGCGATGCTCGTCGCGATGTTGGCTTTGAGGGGGACTGCGGCTGCCGCTATGGCGTTGGTGACGGGGGGGGGTGTGATTGCTGTGGAACGGGGTAAGGGTCGAGGGGAGGTAAAGGGGTCTTTCGACGCGAGAGGGTTCAAGTGGAAATTCGAAGCTGCTTCGAGTGTGAAAATAGTCGAGGTGTCCTAATTGGTTTTGGGCATTGAGCTGTGTAATGGGGCACGAGTCCGCAAAAGTCTCGTTACGAGGAATTTCGTGCGGCGTTTTCCAGTTAGGCGAGATTCGTGTAGCCATGTTCCTACAAGCGAATCGTGATTGGCATTTGCCGATGATTGGTTGGTACCATTTGCCATGACACAACCCATTTGCCACGTGAAATACTGTCAGATGCTGAAAGTATAGGCCGTTAATAAGGGAAGGAGACTGACTTTCGTTTAAATGCCAGTCGATTGAAATGTATTTTATTCATTTGCAAAGTAGTAAAGTGAAATATGTAAATATATATTGATGTCACATTGAATAAATCATTGTGAAGTAATGCGCGTAGAATCTTTTTAAATTTATGAGAAATAAAAAAAACTCAGAATTGTCCTTGTGAAGCAATACAAGGTCAAGTAATGCCACCTATTAACGCCATGTAATAAAAGCGCCTGTAATAATAAATTGGAAATAGATTCCACATTGCGTTATAAATTCTTCTTTATGAGAGTGATGGAGGTTGGGGAGGAGTTACGTATTCCGGGCAGATTGTTCAAGATGCGAGCAGAGATGACTTTGCATCTGGAGGAGAGTAATGTTTGACATTCGCTGTTGCGTACGCACTTGCATAATTCGCTCTATCCGCATAAGACATTATTATTCATTGTCTTCAAGGGCGAGCGGGAATGAAAAATGGGAGAAAGAATGGCCGGGGGTCGAGAGTTGGAAAGGCTGCGAATGGTGGGGTATGGGAGTATGGAAATTTTTGTGAAAAAGAGCCGTTCGCAGGTTGGTTTTAAGATTTTAAGCTATTAGCTTCGACTGGCCCGCGTGCCCCTCGTACTTTGCCGATTATTTCGCCGTATATCGAGGCTCTGAAGTCTCCTATGTCTTGTCCCATAACCACGATCTGCCATTGTCCATTTTATAATTTCCGAGCCTCGCTCCAACACGTCTCAATTAACCGCCCACGGAGGGTCGAAAAAGATCTTGTAATCGTCCCTCGCCTCCGGTCCATTCTAATCACCGGATTCACCGGATTTATCGGGATGCTTGGGGTCCAACGATGCATGCCCTCCCCCCCGCAACCACCACAAACAATTAAACTTATGGAAAGTCGATTGGCGTTGCCCGATCCACGAGATGAGTTTCACGAGAGATCCTCGGAGTCGTCGATCTCGCCGACATTTAACGGTTAAGGCCGGTCGCGTCGCAAAGGCCGGAAAAAAGCAGAGAATAAAAGCAAAATCCCCGTGTCGGGACCAAGCATACTCCAAACAAGCGGTCCGCGGGCGAGTGTACGCGCGAGTGCGCGGTCGTGTGTTAGATAGATAGATAGAGAGAGAGAGAGAGAGAGAGAGAGAGAGAGAGAGAGAGAGAGAGACACTCTCTTTCTCGCACATAGGG